TTAGAGATCACATGATCGAGTGACGCTTAGGATTAAACTAATATTACATGATGTGGTTCCGGATCTGCAGAGATTGCAGACTTCGGCCCAGACCTTCATGGTAATCCAAAAAGGGAAGAAGGAGAAAAACAGAAAAAAAAGAAACAGATAATAGAAATAAAGAAGAAAGAATAGGAAGGGAGAAGGAGAAGAAAAAAAAACTATATACAATATTAAAAAACATAAATTTCATATAAAACCAATAACGTATTATCATATTTTACAATAACAACTTGTGTGTCTACAATATTGAATTAGTTTCACGTAACTTATATTATCTTATTTTTAATTTTTAATTTTGTATTTACAAAATTTAATTTTAATCCTCATAACACATAAATAAACAATTTATTATTAATATAACTATAGTTTTTTGGTAGGAGGGGGGGTGGGGGAGACATTGTCTCCTGATTTTATTCAAAACATAAAAACTAGCTACACACAAACTCTTCTTGGGCGCGCAGAACCGATCATATTGTAACTAAAAATCGAAACTAAACTAGGTGGAACCGAATCTAAAAACTGGACACCTAGAGGAAGGAAAAAAGCAGAGTTAGCTAATCCATCAGCAAGACAATTATCTTTTTTGTTAGCAAAAACAATTAGTTTTTCTATACACATATGAAAAACGGATTATCCATTCTCTCGAGATAAAGCCATGATACATATGTACCAAAAAACAGACTATCTTATAACATAATATATAAATCTCCTTATACTACAAAATTTAAACATTTACAAATTTACTTCAAGAATCATATACCTGCGCAGACGCGCAGGTCCAACATCCAGTTGAAAATTAAACACAAAATGGCTGAAACACATCAAAGCATTTCCTTTGCTTAAACATTAACGCCAGAACACCTATTTTTTTACTAGTTCTTATTTTTGTTTCTTTTTCGTTTGAAGATGAAATAACAAAGTCGAAACAGAAGTAAAATTATCTTTTGCGAATTAGAGATTTTGTAGGACTCAAGCTGGTCGCTAATCTTTTAAATACTAAAAAAACTTTGAGAAAATTATGAAAACTATTGTTTGAAAAAGAACATGAAAAAAAAATTCATAGAATGATCAAAGCTTCTTCTCTACGTGCGTCAATCTTGTATATATGTAACTGGTGTATGTTTGCAAATTGCAAATGTTTCTTCATCCTCTCTTGTTGTGGTTTGTCAGCGAAATATGCAAGAAAATAAAAACTTACGCATCTAAATTTAGCTGGTTTTGGGACATGATGAGATATCACGTGGTTTTGGGAGGTGGAGATTGGTCGGGTCCGTGATATGATTTCTCCATCTTCTTGTTGCATTAAAGAGACGAAGCCTCTCTTTATCTACATGCATGGTCCAGCCTCATTCAAGTCAGACAAACGACTACTCAACACATATATATATATATATATACACATATAAACTATATATTATATTTGAAATAAAAAGTTACTGAAGTGTTCTAATTAACCCATTTTGTGCTTTGATTGAAATGTATATAAACAAAATTCCAGCTAGATGTGTTTCCATTAGTAATAACTAGATTATAACTTGCGCGTCCACGCAGGACAATGTTTAAAAAAGATTAAAATTTGTAATTGATAAAATGTGATATGAAAAAATAAGATATAATGTGTTATTATCATGGTTAGATTTTTTTATATATTATAAAAAGTAAATTTAAATTTTGTAAGTACACAAATACATAATTGACAATAAAGTATTATTTTTTTGGGCAAATGAAAATCAAATATTATAAGTTATTTATTATTGATTTAAATATATTATAACTATAATTACGTAAATTTTTTGTTTTTGTTCTTTTTTTCCATTTTCTTTATTTTTAAAAATTCATCCGTTTTTTCTTTATTCTTTTCTTCTCTTCCACTTTTCCCTTTTCTCTCTTTTTTTCTCCGCTTTTCTTCTTATTCTCCATTTTTGTCTGTTTTACTTCTCGTTCTTCTGTTTTTTCTTCTCTAGTTTTTTTTTCTGTTTTTCTTCTTCGTAATTCTTTTCTGTATTTCTCTTCTTCTCCAATTTTGTTTTAAGTTCCTTTTTTTATGATATTCTTCTTTCTTCTTCCTCTTTTCTTATTTTTATTAATTTTCTTCTCTGTTTTTTTCTTCGTTTCTCTTTTTTTCCTCATTTTTCTTTATTATTCATCTTTTTCCTCATTTTTCATTTTTATTCTTTTTTACTGTAACTTTTCTTCAGCTTTTTGTTTTTGTTTGTTTTCTTCTTCGTGTTTTTTGTGTTTTTTCCTATTTTCTTTTCCTTTTTTTCACTTTTTATTTTTCTTTATTTTTTTTAAAAAAGTTTTGAAAAACAAAATGAAAATAGAAAATTATTATACTAAATAATTAATATTATTCTGTTAAAAATAATTAATATTATATAAATAATTGAATATATATATTATGGTGATAGTATTTAATAATAATATATATAAGACGAACCGATATAGGCTTTGTATTGTAATGGGAAGAAATTGATCGTGGTATATAAATTTGATTTTCTGGGTATATGAACAGTTATTTAGGAAGTCCAATCGCAAAAATAAAAATAAAGAATATTGACATATAGCCCCCGTCTAACATATTTTATGTCCATTGAGAAAAATAAAATTTAGACCTTTATAATATTATTTTTTGGCATTAATTTCGAATTAAAGATAAAAAGTTAAATAGTTCTAAATTTTAAATAAAGATGAGCCTTTTATAAGAAGGATAACAAAATATTAGGCCTCTAATGAAAAGAGTAATAAAAAATTAGGCCTTTAATGATTTAATAAATAGAATAAATTTAATAAATTGTATATATTTAATGAAAGTCCAATAGCATATTAAGTAAATAACATATTAAATAAAAGTTATTTTACTAAAGTGGATTCTCTTTTAATATAATAGATATGTTCATAATCAAAAGTCAGACGCATAAAGAGATCTGTAACAGCACTAGTAGTTCTTTATCCAAGTTAACAATAATTTTTAGAAAATGCTATCTACATTTCAAAACATAGATTCACAACAAAGTAAAAGAAAGCATAATCAAGTAACAATTGTATTTAGATCTTCTGTCTCTTTTAATCCAGAATGTATATAATGAGTTTGTTGGTTGGCATAAGTATTGAATTGTATCCATCTATGTCAATATCAGTTCTTTTTCTTTTGTCTGCATTTCAATATTAGATGTATTAGGTATTTACCTTCGCTATGTTGAATGATATTTTTTTAAATTTTGTATATATTTTTAATATAATAAAATTATTTTTATAATATAAATGAGTATTATATTTATTTTTTATTAGCTTAAGTTATGTATTTCTATGTTTTAAATCTGAATAAACATTATATATTCTTTTTATTTTTTAAAATTATAATTTGCTATTAAATTTAGTTAGCTAACTAATTATAAATATACATATAGGAATAAAATATATAAGAATAAAGCAATACATCTTTAGTACCTTCATGCTAATGGCAAATGTAATATATTTTCTCCAATAAATTGCCACATGATCCTCCTTTATAATTATATAAAGCAAAATACCATTTAAAAAAAGATTTATTAATTAATATGATTATTTTGAATTATAAAATTTATTTATTTATCAAATATTTTATTATAACATATGTTTCTAAAACTACCAAACTATAATCAATAAAATTCATATCAAAACAATTGCCATTGCTTTAGAACTAAATAGAAAATTATGTTTGAACTCTTAAAATACCGTTTTAGTTAAAGTTAAATAATTAATTTTTGATTACTGTACTTTAACTTGGAAATTTAGCACATAAAAATTTCATCTTTTTACAAAAATCAAAAAATCGTATTTCCCGTCAAAACAAAAAAAACTTTATTTTCCCATTAAACTGAGAAATCGGCTATTCCCGCCAAAACAAAAAAAAAATTATTTTCTCATCAAACCTAAAACCTAAAATTTCATTTTCTCGCGAGAACCTGTGTTTTTCCACCAAAGCCGAGAAATTACGTTTTTACACAAAAATCAAAAAATTTCATCTTTCTGCAAAAACCAAAAAAAAAATTGTATTTTTCCGCAAAAATCGAAAAATTTATTTTTCCTGCGAAAACTAAGAAATCGTCTATTCCTGCTAAAAAAAATCATTTTCTTGTCAAGCCCAGAATCACGCTTTCCTACAAAAACAAATAAGCTACAATTTCCCGCGAAAACCAAAAATTGCATTATCTTCTGTGAAATTGTGTTTTCCCGCAAAAACTAAGAAATTGTTATGTTTTTATCGGTTCAAATTTTTGGTGATGTGTGAGCTTCTTATAATATAAGACCTTTTGTGTTGTTGTCATGGAAGCATAGTTGATGCCGAGCCTACACTTCCAATCATATACGTCTATGTCAAACAAACAGATAGCTAGGTTTTTTTTTATTATTTATTTGTTGTTATTTATTATTTGGATTTAGTTTTGGCAAAAAAAATAGAAAACTATGATTTAATTTTTTTATTTTTTTTTTATTTATTGTTTGAATTTGGTAAAAAATAAAATAATATTTTTTATTTGCTGTTATTAGTTATTTGTGCTTGAGTTTGGTAAAAAATAAAACAAAAGTTAATAGAAAAAATATTTGGGTTTTTAATGGGTTTAAGTTTAAAATTTAAAATAAGTAGATGAGATGTATTAATAAAATGTTTTGATTGGTGATTATTTTTGCTGATGTATCATGTTTATAAAATTTAAAAAAACTGAGGTGTCAAGCTATAGAAAGACTTTAATGTTATTGTTGTGTTGATTTGTTTGTCGTCAATATCAGATTTAAAACTGGTTGATGTGATTTTTATATCTTAATAAAAAAATGTATTTCGTTGAATTTTTATATTCGTCAAATCTGAATACATCAAAAGAGGCCTTTCCTTTCTGCTATAAAAAAGTTTCACGAAAAAAAACTAAAAAAGTTTGTCTTTTTCTTTGTATCCTTTCTTCGATTTCTGAGCTCAGAAAAAGAAAATGGCGACTGTTCCTGAAGCTGAAGAATCGGGATTGAGAATGAGAAGCGTCATTGAGGAGGAAGAAGAAGAAGACGAGCATGATTTGAAGAAGCTAGCGAGATCGTTCTTAGGTTTGAGCTTCTCAGTGATGCTAGCTCATCTCCCTAGCGACGCGATATCTCTAGTTCCGCGATTGGCGACGGAGGTCAAGGAGCTGAAACGGCGGCTCGCGTCGGCGGAGGAACAAGTCCGTCAGATGAAATCTCGGCGCGTGGAGGACTCGAAGGCAAACGCGCGCGTGGTGGATATCTTCGCTAGCCACAGGAACGCTTGGCAGGAAGAGGAGAAACGGCTGCAGAATCGGATTCACGAAATGGAGGAAGAGAGGGAAGAGTTCATGAACAGGATAAACGATTTGGAGAGAGAAATTAGCGAGAGGGACGAGATGATTGGGTTTATGTCCAGAAGAGGGATTGAAGACGAAGAAGAAGAAGATAATTCCACTGAGCGTTACGGTGTGGATCACCTCGCTGTATCTTCACCCATACCTTATGGGCTTACTCCAAGCTCTCAATTCTGGACAGAGTCGCATAATACTAACCCTTTCCAGGTTTCAATTTTCTTGTTTCCTATGATGATTGAGAGAGAAAAATAGAATTGAGGTTTTGATCTGGGGTTTTTGATTCTGTTTGCAGGATGTACAGTACGAATCTCTGGAATCTGTGTACCATATGAAGCAATTTGTGCCAAGGTGAAGTTTTACTTTTATAGAAACTTTGAGATTTGTGTGATGGTCAGCAATGTAAATGAGTAAATCTTATCTTTTCATTTTACAGAAGGGAATCACCATGGAAGATCGACAGTGAAGCAACAGGTGTATCTGCGAAATTGAGGTTACTAGAAGAGGAATTACAAAATCTTGAGAAAGTTTGTCGTAGTGACATTTCAAAGGTTCCATCTTTGTTGAGGAAACAAGCAAAGAGGTATCAAGCTCTTGCAGGGAAGATCGATGATCTTTGCAGAAGAATGGTTATTACTCTCTAAAACACATTATGTGTTATTGTTTTGAGTTACTCAAGAGCTTAAAAAAAGGCTTAACCTTACATGTTTCTTTTTCAGCAGAGTAGTGATCCTTGCGATGCGACATTAGGACCCGAGTTCAGGACACAAAGACAAACCGAGTTTCTGCTCGAGTGTTTCAGGCTTCAGCAGCGAGCATCAGAGACGGGGCAGAAGCTAGTTGCATTGCAGACGGAAATCACAAGGAGCAATCAGGGAGAACAACTAAACCAAGCCAAGATGAACACAAAAAGGTCACTGGATTTGATCAAGAACAACTTGAAAGAAGTTCAGAGAAACCTAGAGATTTGGCTAGCTAGAATCATTGGAGATCTCGAAGGCATACTTGCCCGAGATGGAGCTTCGCGTGTAAGAGAGTTCTACGTTGCTCGATACCCTTTTGTTCAGTAGAATCAGAGAATTTCCCATTCATCTGTTTTGCAACTGTTGTTAGCCTGCAGAAGGATCACTGTAGAAGAGTCTAGATTTGATCTGATAAATAAACCAATTGTGTAAAAAATCTTGATGTATCAACCATTCCAAATTTTGTAGGCCAAATGTGAAAAAAAAAATCGGACATGTTGGTAGTTGGCAATGAATTTTGAAGGTTTTAATCTCCGGACATATACACAAACGCATTATTGTTTTGTTGGAATATGACCTGTAAATCTCTAAAAAGCTTACAACTTTTCAATGGTTGATGAAACAAAGACAAAAAGCTTCTGACTTGAGAGAGATGAACAAAGACATAATGTATCTACTCTATTCCGAAAAAGGAAACCGGACCTAATACATCATTGGCTCTCTGGTTTTTCTCTGAGTTTAAGAGCTTGGAGGAGAAGATGAGGCTTCATGATCAAAACCTAGACGGATTCTGTTCGGTAGAGGTCTAGCTATAAGTCCTTCAGTGACCCAACCCACTGATTCACTGTCTTCTTTGGCGAGTTCAAACTCTCTCCGCACGTAATCTAAAGAAACGTGGAGGCGACCGCCCGGTTTGCAGTCTGAGTAAGTGTTTGTAGCTTCGATCCCAGCGTTCTTCTCTAGCCAGTAGAGATAGTTCACTTGAAACAACGACCTGAGCATGTCTTGTGGCGAAGAGCTTTCCTTGAGCGTCACCTGAATATAACAAGAGGAGATTAATAAAATGGTGAGAGATTTGCTTTCGCCGGATATATAAAATGATGATGAAAAGGTTTAATTATTGCTTACGCAGAATCTGCCTCTGTGTTCTGTAAGTATGTAGCCTTCATCACGATACAGATCAAACAGTGCTATTGCTTCTTCCTTGTTGTGGATAACATCGCTGAGCTTTGAACCTAGTTCAAGCCGTTCCTCTATGTCTTCCGCTGCTGCTTTCGCTTCTGATGATAAGACAAGATCTTGTCGCTGGATAAACGCAGATAAACAAGAATCAGGATCTTGATCCATGAAAGAGGGTTTAATTAGGAGAATGACATTTTCACCTTTTTAGGAGATTTTATGTTTAACGACCGAACAGCTGGAAAGACCGGTTCTTCGTCATTGACCTCCTTGATTGTAGGAGCTTGGCCGCTAATGAGGTACTCACTAAAAACCAAACCTGTACAGTAAAAAAAGAGAAACGTGTTTTTCGTTCTTCGTTTTGTCAGAAGAATCTGATGAGCATCGAAGGAAATTTCGAAAAGAAAGACGTACTTGCACGATATGGGTTTAGAGTCCGGAGTTGGATGCATTGGTAAGATTTGAAATTGGTGTACATATGGATCCATGTCATAACTCCAAACGAAGCAAGTGCAAGACTTGTAGAGGTTCCTATGAAATTAGCAACAACGATTCCAAGTAGTATACCCACTGACTTGCTCACCATTCCTTGAGCTTCACCTTTGGCAATCACCTACAAAAAAAACAAGAAGCTCTCTTGATTGCATACACTACAAGCCCACAATAATTTAAATAGCTTTCATGTAAGATAAACTGTAGCAAACCTCAGCAAAGTTCCTTTGAGAAGCAAAACCAGCATTAAAGCAACTTTTAGTAGCAGCCTGCAGCAAAAGTAAACGATAAGTTCAATAGTAAACGTTACACCAATGATGGTATGCAAAGAAGAGGACCTGGATCAATGCAGCAGCAGAACGGCCGGCACCAGCAGTAGCACCGATCATAACGAAGAACTGAGGGAAGAGCGGTGTGAGCATCTCCAACCCAAAAGCAGTGTTCTCGAGGAGATCAGCAAATAGCCTCCATCCTTTGGGATGAACATCGAAATGTCGTCCGTATTTCGATAGCATAATCTTACTGAGATACCCAATTCCATCTTTAAGCACCCAATTGATTGCTGCAGCTGTAGGAATCGCTCCTTTACCCAACCCAACTGCGTAAAGCAAAGACTAACCAAGAAAAAAAAAACCCCAAATCAAAACAAAATGAACAAGAGGTGTTTGTGAAAATGCCTAAGAGAGTGTGAACACTTACCTGTGTGGCGAGGACGCCGCTGATTTGGCTGGCGATTCCTTGAACGCCTCTCCAGAGAGAGTAGTCGAGGTAATCGGAGGTGACGCTGTTTGGGTAACCTTCCGGAAGAAGGAATTGAGTCAGGAGGTTTCTACATTGGGCAAGGAGGTTCTCTGGAGTTAGAGAAGATGATAATTCGAAAGCTGATTCTTCCGTGACGAATTCGTCTCTGAGGAAATCGGGGACTAGTCGCTTCCTTTTGCTTCCTCTCACTTCCCAAACTGTATCTTTCTCCGTGTCTCCGTTGCTACCAGACGCTTGAGCTTTGGCAATGGCGAAAGCGGCTGATAATCGTAATTGGAAGAAGCAGGACAAGGCCAATAGAAGGAAGCAGATAAATCTCAAAGGGAGAGTAGAGTCATCAGAGTTATCGCCGCCACCGCCGCCGTTGTTAAACCACCAACCGCCGTCCCCGCCTCCGCCGGAGCTATTTCCATTATCATTGTTGCCGTTCCATCCGCCGATGTCTCCAGTGAACAGTGAAGGAAAACAGTTTCTCGTCCCGAGAGATTGTTTACTGAAGTTATCATTTGCAGCGGCGACTAATCGGACGCATCGGGAAAGCGAGGGAAGCTGTTGCCGGAGTAATTGACGTGGGAGTAATACACGCTGCCGGAAAGTAACATCGCTCCACCGCCGCGAGACGACGGAAGCGTCGCCAGAAAATAGATAAGAGCAACTCATCTTCTTACTTCTTCTTCTCGAAGACTTTAAATTTATTTCAAAATCCCATTTTTATAACAAACAGTTTGTTATTAACTTTTTTTTGTTTTTCTATTAGATTAGGGTTCCTGGTTATATATATCAAAAACCCCCAAATTTATCCCGCCAATTTTGTGTGTGAGAAATTAGGGATTTCAAAGATCATCCATGGCTATGGAGATAGAGAATTTGTGGAGAGAAGTGAGAGAGTTGAGCTTGGGAACTGAAATCGATCGCCTTGATTCTCCGCCGTCTCCGGTACAATTTCTCCGAGACTACGTCGCACAGAGCAAGCCTTGCGTAATCTCCAACGCCATTGCTCATTGGCCGGCTCTAAAACTCTGGTTGGATCCGGATTACCTCGCCGGAGCTCTATCAAATGATCTCGTCTCACTACATCTCACCCCTAACGGCTGCGCCGACGCCGTCACTCCTATCCATGACAAAGGGGATCTCTGTTTCGCTTCGGCTCACGTCGAGAAGCTTCCGTTCCCGGAGGCTCTACAGGCCGTTCGATCGTCGTCTATGGGAAAAAGTGTTGCTTATTTACAGCAGCAAAACGATTGTTTCAGAACGGAGTATTCAACGGTTGCTTCAGACTGCGACGGCGACATAGCTTGGGCTACGGAGGCGCTCGGTTGTTCGCCGGAAGCTGTAAACCTTTGGATAGGGACTGATCTCTCCGTGACTTCTTTCCACAAAGACCACTACGAGAACCTATACGCCGTCGTTTCAGGGGAGAAACATTTCCTTCTCCTCCCTCCGACCGATGTTCACCGCCTCTATGTCCAACGATACCCTGCAGCCAATTACTCTTACCACCGAGTCTGTGAGATTCTCAGATCACATCTGATTTTCCATTTGAGGCTGTTAAATGAGCTGTAGAACAATAAAGTTTGAATCTTTGTAGGATACTGAAGCGTTCAAGCTTGAGATTGATCAGCCAGTGAGGCATGTGCCATGGTGCAGTGTTGATCCATACCCTTCACCAGAGAGGGAAGCAAGTGAGAGACTGAAATATCCATTGTTCTATAATGGCCCAAAGCCGTTTCATTGTACTGTCAAAGCAGGGGAGGTTCTTTACTTGTAAGAATCTCAATCTCTTGGTCATTATCATGTTCCACAGATTGAAATCCCAGAACAAGACAATCGCCATTACTGTATAAGCTTCAGTCTTACTTTCGCTTCCTATTCTAAGAACCAAAGATAGAGCTTTCATTAGTTATGCTTGAATAAAAGACTTTCCAATGCATAACCCATCTGGATATTGCAGGCCAAGCATGTGGTTTCACCATGTTAGTCAAACCCCAGGAGATTGTGGCTATACCATTGCGGTGAACTATTGTAAGAGCTTTACTTCTGCTTCCATCCTCAAACCAGTGTTTTTTCCGGCTCTCCTGCCTCTAATAAGCTACATATGCTTCTAATTTGCAGGGTATGACATGCAGTTCGATCTCAAGTATGCTTATTTCAACTTCTTGCAGTCGGTATCATACGAGTCATCTTCACTCACTCCAACTCTGTCTTGGAGAGAAGATAAAGATTCAGAATCCGGTGATGCAGAGGAATGAGGAGTTGAAACAACATTGTGTTTGCTGAGTTCAAGTTTTATCAGTCACAATAGAAAGGTCGGAGAAGATCTTAACTTTACATTTGGTTGATCTTAGGACTAAGGAGAATTGTATGTAAGCTGTTTATCTAATCACCTGCCGTGTACTTTAATACTTTCTCCACTATTCCATAGTTTTATCTCCCAGAAATTCTATCCACTACCTATTATTTGAGAAGTAATATTATTGAAAATTGCTTATTTGTTAACACTACAATCAAAATTAGTGCTTTTAATTGATGACATGTAAATATGACATGTCAAACTTCATAAAATAAACAAAATGTTTTGATTGGTTGAATTGAAATTATAGAAATTGTGAAATTAAAACATAAATAAACTAAATTATATTTATAACACTAAAATTAACAAATTTAAATTAACAGAAATTAAAGCTATTATAATTTTATATTTTTATATATATTCATAATTTCATAAAAAATAATTACAAATTTTTTTTAACAATATATATATATATTATAATTTCATATAAAAATAAAAAATAAAATAATATTAAATTATCTAATAGAATAGTAAAAATTCTATTTATTAATATTACTTTAAGTATGATATATTTTTATTTTGGAAAGTTATTAATTAAATCTAAAAAGTTTTAAATAAAAAAATTATTAAATAATATAATTTTAAATAAAATACAATCATGATAAAAATAATTTAAAGAATAAAATGTTAAAAATAATAAAAATAAATAACTTTTATTAATTTGTTTTTAAAAAATACGTAATTTAAAAATATATATATTTTCAAACCAATATTTACTAAATGAATAAAGTATATACTAATTATTATTTTATAATATTAATAGGACCATATATTTTTCTATAACTTTTATCATCTTTTTATTATTTCCTAAAATGTGCATAACTTATGTTACCATCTTATCTTATCTCTTATCATATTTTAAATAAAAATAAAATTTTATATTATATTAATATATATATATATATATATATACGTAATTTTGTTTTCATTGTATATCAAAATTTTGAGATCATAAATGAATTGAAAAATAACCAAACGAAAGAATAAATTATAATAAGATGAAACAATTTGAATAAGAGAACAAAATAGAAGTATATAAAAATAAATCTCTCTCTCTTTGTTTTATATAGTCACTTAAAAAAATTTTAACACGTAAGAGCCATATTTCAATTTTTTTACAAATACGCGTACATATATAAATATTAGTTGTACATTAGTTGAAGTCACATGCGAACTTTTTTGTGCATGTATTTTGTTAATATTGATTACAGTCTAATTTTTATTTTAATTATTATCTAATTTATATTTTTTTTAAATCTTTGTTATTCTAAGTGTAGTAAAGTGATTGGTATGCCTGCACATGCGTGCCAACCATCTACCCGCTCTTAGGAATAAGTAAAAATGGTAAAAACTATTTCAGTTTAACTTGCAATAAATCAAGAAAAATATATACTTAAAATATATTATATATGTATTTACAAACTCATATTATGTAAGACGCAAAAAAGCATATTGTAGATTGTGTAAGGAGAAATAAAGCATATTAATATTATAAAAATTTAATTATTATTTAACATAACTTTTATATTTGTGATTATATACTATTGCAAGCATTATAAAAATAAAATTTTTTAAAATACATTGATTTCAGAAAGAAGTTTGTGAAATATTAAAACACTATATATATATATATATATATATATACAAACATATAAATGTTTAAAATTTAAATATTACAATTAACTATGTATATCAAAAAAATTATACCTGCACATATGTGCGGGCCAACCATCTAGTAGAACTATAAAATCATATGGAAGCTCTTAAATTCTCTGATATGTATATGTTCTTGGTTGATGACTTCAAGAAAACGTACCATTGTTTTCTTGTGTCTTAAAGACTTGTTCATGGGTTGGTGATAAAGTTAGACTTGGCCATTGGCTGCTGCAATGCTATGGCCGCGAGTTATATGCAGAATGGGTTTCACATTGAGGCCATTAAGCTTCTCTATCAGATGAAAGTGGCAGGCCTCGAAGTGACAGACTCTTGAACGAGGTGAAAGACCAGTAGCTGCTGTTCTAGCTAGTTGGTGAACCTGATAGTCAAGACTTTGTTTTCTCAAAGACATGTAAATATTGATGTGTTGACACACATATATACCTGTTGAAAAGTATAATAGTCACTTGTGCCGCAAAAAGAGATCAAGAAAACATCAGAGAGCATGCGGATGCCATAAATCTTGGGTTTGGGTTTGAATCAACTAGTTTGATACAAAGCAGGCTGGTTGATACGTACTGATACAAGCCTCAAATTGCTTCAAGGAATGTGCCTTAGAATCTATTGCTTCAAGCTAGATAGGATGGAAGAAAAGACTGATGGTTTAGTAGCCTTGTTGATGCTTGATGACCTCAAACACCAAGGGTTAGATTCTTCTCAGCTCAAGGGCTAATCCTCATAAGAGCTTAGGAGATTCTACACTTCTCACAAGTTCTTTGAATCCCTCAAAAAGAACTTAATAAAAAGCAGGAACAATTTGTATGCAAAGAGGTACTTTTCTTTGAAACAAAAATAACTTTCTTTGATTGATAATTTCGTGCCTTCAAAATACAATGTAAATGAGCTTATATAGTACTCAAAAGAGGGGAAATAAACGGTAACTAAGTAAAAGAAAAGCATGAAAGAGGGAATTTGTTCTTGGCTCCATTTTCCTAGCCATTAGGCTTTAATGTGCATATCCTTGACTTTGGCAATGAATGGGGAGGTTGTGATGATTCCTTGGCGTGAAATGAATGTCTTGGATCCTCCACAGGTGATGTAGGGACGAGATTAACTGAGTTATATGGTCGTTGGTCCTTCTTTACTTCAGAGGCAAAGTAATTATCTTCAAGTAAGGAAAGTTCTTCTTTGGCATGATCTTCTTTAACTTCTGATAAAAGGGGGCGATTGTTGACTTCTTCTGGTGTGGTAAGACTCTTGTAAGCTTCTGTGGAAGTGGTGTGGGGCGAATATAATGTCTCTGAATGACATATATCCGAGTTTTCCTTGTATGAATGAAATAATGCTCCAATGGGTCCATGTAAGGAAAAGGGCGGTTCTTCTTTGGTTTGGCATGATTGAGCGTGGTTATTGACTCCTTCTGGTGGTTTAGGACGTGGATTAACTTCAGAAAATAGTGATGGTCGGTCGCATAACATATTGGGGAAATGTATATGCGAGGTTTCCATAAATGGCTCCTTGGTTAGCTTCAGCGGTTTAGGTGAGATATCTCCTGAATTAATTCGAACCAGTGGGTATTTAGCTCGACCAAAACGTCCCTCTTGATGTATAGAGTGATGTTGTTTGATGGCTAAGTCCTTAGCTGCTCCATCCTCAGCTACAAAGCCTCCTTTCTCCACAGCTACAAGCTGTTCTGCACCTTCTTTAGCTCCAAGGTTCCTCTTCTTGGTTGTTTTAAGTGAATTGGACTTGAATCTTACATCACGTACGGTGAGTATGGGTTGGTGAAAGATGCAGATAATGGTATTCAGAGAGCTATGGAGGCCGGGTGAGAAAAGTTTTAGCTGCTGCAACTCTAGTTATGTGCAGAATGGGTTTCACATTGAGGCCATTAAGTTTACCTATCAGATTAAAGTGGCTAGAATCAAAGCGTATGACAGACCACTAGCTGTCTAGCTAGATGATGAACTTGATAGTCAAGACTCTGTTGTGCTCAAGACATGTATATATTCATGTGTTTGGAAAGCATAATAGTCACTTGTGCCGCAAAAGGAGATCAAGAAAACATCACAGCTATTTCAGTCAGCGGATTTTGGTGAAGAGATGGGAATGTTTGTGAATAGATGTCCCATTGGTTTGCTTTTATGGTCTTTGTAGACCAATGGTTCAGCTTCCTTTGATGTGATGGGGATTGTACCTGTTGCTGCTGCTGCTTTCTTTTCTTTGTAAGACGCCCAAGTGACACTGTAAAGACCTGCGATGATTGCACATCCGCCTAAAATGCTAAGAGAGAAGAAAGCAGAAGAAACCGAGTCAGTTTGGGAGAAAAGGCCACTTCAAATAGATCCTATTAATGGCTGAGAATAGCCTAGAGAGAGAGTATTGAACCTCCCCAAGTAGATAGGGCTTCCTAAGAAGATTCTGGACAAGAAGGCTGAAGCTGCAGGTTGAAGAGGATTGTAAAGGGCAACTAAAGAAGGACCCAAAATCTTGTTTGACCACGTCAAGAGACCATAATTGAGTGCAGACGCGATAACTCCCTGGACAGAGAGAAGCAGCAGAGTTACTCATTTGAAGTCTATACATCAAACATATATATATATATATATATATATATATGGTGTGAGGAACTCACTGCGTAGACAACTGCAAAGAACTCGGATCTTGTGAGACTCCAGTTCGTCGTCTCATTGGTCATGAAAAAAGCAGATGTCACCATAAACATGGTCCCAAAGAAGTACGAGTATGCTGTGACTGAAAGATTTGCCGGATACTTCTTTAAGACTGGAGCCTGAGATAAATCACTCAAGGGTCAGTCCAAAGACAAGAGAAACTGAGGTGTTTGGATCATGTGGAAGCAAAATGACACAAGACATGCCTGAATTGCAAGAAAAGCAGCCATGCAAGTGCAGTTCCCAATCAAACACAGAACTCCCAGATTCCATCTCCCAAGTCCATTGAGAAAGCTAGACATAAAGTGTCCAGATGATGCTTCAGGGTGTCTTATATCACCATGACCCAAGGACTCAGCCTCTGTTTCCCCAAACAGAGCCGGTCCACGAAACAAAACCATCAACACCGCACCAGAGACACAGATCAGCGTACCTCCTACTTTAGCTTGGCCTTCTAGTTTGAATAAATTCAATCTCTCTGTTCTGCAACAACACACAGAGAAGGCATTGATTCTGTGAATCTTGCAAGAGTCATGAGAAAGTAGACCAGTCGAATCGAATCTTTACCCCATAATAAGAGCCAAAATGAAAGTAAAAACCGGAATAGACGGCTGAATGGCTGCAGCGTAAGTAGGATTGGTGTAATTGAGACCAACAAGGAACAAAAGCTGATTGCCAAATATCCTAATCACACAAAGCAACATACATTGATCATTGCAGATAAACAGAAAAGGGGGAAGAAGAAAACTTTCTTACCCGGTTAAGCCGAGGAAGAAGAAAGCTAAGAGAAAGCGCCGATTCAAAGGAGGTCTTGTCTTTTTATCACGGATATAAGCAAGAGGGGCAAGAATGGAGAGAGCGATGAGATCACGGAAGACGCAGAAGACGAGCTGGTTTACACCGACGTTGAGAGCTACTTTGGTAATCACGTGATATCCTCCGTTGAACAGTTGCACGCAGACCATCGCCACGTGTGCCTTCCATGCCTCTCTCTCCACCGCACTCTCCATCTGCCGGTTTCTTCTTTTCCGGCGGTTCCTGTTCCCGGCGAGAGAGATGAAAGCCAGGGTTGTGAATGGGTAAAAGAGAGAGATTAGTTGGAAAATATTAAAATCTTTAAATTGATCGCTTAATTGTCACTTCGAATCTCTTCTCTGTCAAAATGTGGTTTTCAGATTGAAACTTGAAAGAGACAGAGGAACAAACACATGATGACATCATGCTTCGGACACAAGCATGTATAGAGCTATTGATCCTATTTACCCGCCGTTCCATGATCACTAGACTTGGCTTCATTTTCCTTAATTTTCATTTTTTTAAAATTGTTATAAATACAGATAAATAACATAAGTCATACTTTTTGGTGAGGATGAAATGAGAAATCTAACATTTCATAGATTTATTTTACATTATTGTTGCTCATGTGTTTGATTTTAAAGCAGAGAGGTTTGTTTGAGTAATTGAAGAATGCATTAGAATATGCTGAAGTGAAAGGGATAAATCTGCAAGAGAAAGATGAAACTGTGACATAACTAAGAACCTTCTGACAGGAAACAAACTATCACAAGTAAGATTTGATAAAACATTATTGTCTAAGCATTATCAGAGCATCATTATTAAGAGGATATTGTAATATCTCGATCTCAAAATATGAAGTTTATCGATGAGCTTCCTATCTTCTGTGATATCTTTTGATATCACCATCACATTGGTGTTACTTGAGGATAGTCCACAGGATTGTTTAGTGCCCAGTCAAAAATGTCGGTTATCATTTTACTCAACCTCGCAGATTTATCCCCTGAAACCATGGAGGATTACATATAAAGTAACAAAGAGACAAGTGTTTTCAAGTAAAGAAATTTTCACCTGCGGGCACCAAGGGGATATGGTGAAGTTTGAAGTCATCGATGATCTTATTTTTATCACAATAAGTCGAGAATGAGACCTCACCAACGTGACCCTTTATCCGCAAGAGCTGACTTAACATGCTCATACATATCTCATCAGGATCGACACCATCAGGGATTGGGCAGTCCTCTACGTCCCAAAAGACACTTGAGATTTCACAAAAACAGAGAAGAAAATACATAAGTAAGAAAAACAATCAAATCTTGAAGAATCCTTAGGAGCAGAGGAATGATATCCAAAACATTTGTGAATAAGCTTTCCTCCACCTGCTAGGCTTGGCCAAAGCCATACCCTGTTTGCATATACGACCGCAGAAGGCATTGTAATCTCTCTTTCCCATAGAGAAAATAAAGTCTTCGAAGCTTATATTTCCTCTTGAGAAACTTTTTGTGATCACCATCAAATTTAGTATTATTTACGGATAGTCCACAGGGTTTTTCAGTGTCCAGGCAAGAATATCGACTAACATTCTCTCATATCTCATATAATGATCCCCTGAAACCATTTAGAGTAACAAAAAGAAAAGAGTGTTATTAAGTAACGACATTTTTGGGATCTAAGTAACAGATATATAAGAGGGGGTGTATTCAACTTAACATTTTAATTTTAATGTTAATTAGATGATTTGGTTGAATTATAGAAATTGTTATGATTTGATATCAAAATCCTACTAAACTTCACCTAAAATCATAAGTTTTGGATTCTTATATTTATAACTAGGAAATTCCATCAAAACATTTTAAAATCAGTTCAGGGGTGTATTGAAACTAAAATTTTAGAGAATTTGAAAATATTTGAGTTTTAATAAAATTTTAGATGATTTTATGTGGATTAGGGAAGTTGATATGATTTGATATTAAAATTATATGAAATCCCACATAAAACAATGAGATTTGGTTTTCTATATTTTTAACTGACAAACTCTACCAAATCATTTAAAAGTACTCAATATTTTGTAAAATCTACTATTTAAAATATTTCCAATAACAATGAATTTGATTTAATTTTTACAAATTCTTGATTGAATAACATGGAATTTGGTAAGATATTTAGAAATCATTAGTTGAATAACATGGAATTTTAAAATAACTACAAAGTCTTCTAAAATTTCAGTTTCAATACACCTCCCCCCCCCTTCAAGTTTCTTAAATCTCACTACTTAAATTATTTTCGATAACAATGAATTTGAAGATACATTTTCAAATCACTAGTTCAATAACACTGAATTTTTTTTTTTAAAAATAACTTTTTAAAATTTATGTTTTAATAACAGAGGGTTTGTGATTTTAATACAAATCACTCTAAATTCTATTTTGAATACACCCCTTTAAAAGTCATCAAGGAGGATCTTGCTGTTGTTCTCACAAGTCACAATAAGCCGAGATTGACACCTCACCATTGTAACCCTTATTCATAAAAGGTGACTTAACATGCTGATAAATCTTTTCAGGTTCGGCACCATTAGGGATCGGGCAGTCATCAATGTCCTAAAAAATGCTCGTGTCTTGTGGCTTTCTTCTTGTTTTTCACTTAATTTTCAAATTTCTGAATCATGGATAGAGAGTTATAGCGTGATTTGCAGCGTTTGGATTTGGGTTCTTCTCTCAAACCTCTTCAATTATTTCCGGACACTAGGCTACAAAATACAAAAGAAAATCGGCTCAGTCTTGTTGTCAAAGGTTTAAATCTGACGCATCTGAATCTCACATGGATGCGTAATACTCTCCCCAAAACATTGCGTCTCCATGACCGAGCCCAAGGTCAGATCAATGATAATGGTACTATTCAATTCTTTTTTACGGAGGAACACCATCTTCTATCTGTCATTGAAAGAGGTTCGTGGTCATTTAAAGATTGGATGGTGTAATGGATCCATAGACTAGATTAACATATCATAATTATTTGTGAACCATAACCTTTTGGGTCCAAATCTTCAATATCCCACATTAATACAGGAACCAACAGGTAGTAGAAAATATCAGTCGTCGGTTCGGTCAACTTGAGGGTCTCAGAATTGTCAAACCTAACCGCGATTCATTATTTGAGGTTTGAGTGAGGATCATATTTGATTTTTATCAGCCCGAGTTTGACGAAGGCGGAAATCCAATTTACTTCGTCTCCAATATGAACACCTATATAAATTCTGTATCGTTGTGGAAAGCTAACTCATGAAGCCTCTGATTGCCCAGTAGCTCTCATCAACAACCCCTACAACAACATCAAAAAGAAGTTCAAAACCAGAATCTGAACAACCAGGAGGATGAGCGCCAGCCTGTTAATCAATCGGAAGAGCTAACTGAATATAGAGAGCCCTCAAACCTTTGAATACTTCCCTAATGTCACGTTGATAGATCCGATTTCTATCAAGGAAGATGGACACTAATCTGAAATGCCCCTTCGTACATCCGAGAAATCCGATATACCCCTGTTATAACATTTTTTTTTTTGATTTTTATTTTAAACGAAAATGCGTGAAATAACGATGGAGGGTATCTGAAATCCTCTAAATTACGGACACTAACCAAATAATATCTATTGGGTTTTGGCCCAACATAAATCGAAATCGGCCTAAACCTAAATCTAATTCTAGCCCAAACTCAAACCAAAAACAACTTCCACTTCCCTGATTTTTCGATCAAACTGCCTCCTTTCCAACTTTTCATCTTCTCCGATTCAGAAACCACCAACATTTTCATCTTCTCCGAGAACTGATCAAAAATCCGATCCGATCAAATCCGAAGAACCACCGTCCATCGACTCCAATTATCGATTATGGCACCGCAGAGAGGAGTTAGGTTGAGAACGCCTTCACCGGAGGAAATTTCATCGCCGCCGCCGTCGAGTTCAAATCCGCTGGCGAAGAAGAAAAAAACAGTGGAGAAGCGTCAGGCGGCACCGGTTAAGAAGAAGAAGTCCCTGAAGAAATCCAAATCAAAGGACAGAACTTCAACTGCTCCGCCTCCACCTCCGCCTGTGACTGAAAGAGAAGAAGAACCGGCGAAGAAGAAAAGAAAGAGGGAGAAGCGTCTGGATGCACCGCGAGGAAAGGAGAAGAAGTCGCGGAAGAAATCAGACAAATCAAAGTCTGCTCCGCCTCCACCTCCGGCGACTTCGGTCACTGAACAAGCAGAAGAAAGTCAGCCTCCGGCGACTGAACAAGAAGAAGAAGCCTTTGTGGCTCCGACGGTGCAACCGGCAACCGGCCCGCCTCCGATTTCAGAACCAGAAATCGGGTCATCGTCGTAACCATCACCATTGGTAAACCCTAAATCGTGTTCTTCAATGAGTAGTATAGTTGGGTCCAACTAGTCCGACTAGTGTGAGTAGTTCAACTAGTTCAAATAGAACGGTTAACTAGTCCGAATAGAATAACTAGATTGTAGTCATACTAATCGTACTAGTCGTACTAGTAATCATAATAGTTGGCCTAGTTTGTCAGTAGTTGGCCTAGTATTCGTACTAGTCGTACTAGTTTGACAGTAGTTGGCCTAGTAATCGTACTAGTCGTACTAGTTTGACAGTAGTTGGCCTAGTAATCGTACTAGTCGTACTAGTTTGACAGTAGTTGGCTTAGTAATCGTACTAGTCGTACTAGTTTTACAGTACTAGTCGTACTAGTTTGACAGCAGTATACTAAATTGGTTTCCTTATTTTTGCAGCATGATGATGATGATGTAGAAGAACCAATGCGGCCTCTCGGATATTTCTTCCATCCCACCGAATATCGAAAGGGATGTAAGCTAAGTACCAATTGCTTGCAACACAAATTTAAGGCGGATGTATTTCCAATGTTGGAAGAGGATGAGAAGAGTTGGTTTCTGAACCATCCGCAGTTCAAGCACCTGTTTCACATGAAGACTTATGCAACGAGAAAGGTGATGGGGCTGTGGATGTTGCTTCTACGCACGGTTCAAACGGAGAAGGGTAGACAGGCTTGGTTTGTGGTTAATGGAGTGCCCATTAGATACTCCATCAGAGAGCATGCTCTCCTCTCAGAACTGTACTGCCACGAGTACCCAGCCGATTACCCGAAGTTAGGTGGCATGAGGTTTGCTAACAACCATTTTAGAGACGAAAAAATTACAGCTGAAGTTGTGCTAAAAGCACTTCAGGGGATGAGGTATAATAACACTGGGAATCGGCTAAAGATGGCTGTCTTGTACTTCTTGGCGGTGGTGATAAGAGGGAGATCGAAGCATGGAGTAGCCATAGAGCCTTTCGTTCTGAGGATGGTTGATAATCTCGAGCTGTGTAAGACATTCCCGTGGGGACGGTTTACTTTTGAGGACAACATCAAAGAGATTTTTCATATGGGGAACCATTTCAAAGGATCGATCCCAGAGAAAGCGAGTTGGACGTTTCCTGGATTCCTCAACCCTTTGGAAGTAAGTCGTATTTCCTACTGTTTTAATTAGTCCGAATAGTACAACTCGTCCGACTGTTTTAATTAAATATGCAGATTTTTCGTATTAATAGTATGACTACGTCAACTAGTGCGAATAGTACAACTAGTCTAACTGGTCTAATTATATGTGCAGATTTTGGCGTTTGAATGTATTCCAACCCTGAAGACACAATTTCGGGTGAAAGCAACAAATGCAGAAGATGATTGTCCAAGAATGTGCAAATGGGAGTTCACGCAGACTGGCACAACTGGATATTCGCTGGGTTCAATAAATGAGCATCTTGGAGATACAAAGGTATTTTACTTTTTGTTATTGGGATCAATTGTAATCGTACTAGTTTGACAGTAGTTGGCCTAGTTTGACAGTCGTTGGCTTAGTATTCGTACTAGTCGTACTAGTTTGATAGTAGTTGGCCTAGTTTGACAGTAGTTGGCCTAGTATTCGTACTAGTCGTACTAGTTTGACAGTAGTTGGCCTAGTTTGACAATAGTTGGTCTAGTATTCGTACTAGTCGTACTAGTTTGACAGTAGTTGGCCTAGTTTGACAGTAGTTTGACAGTAGTTGGCTTCGGAGATGATGGAGGCTGCAAAGACGGTGGAGACTGTGGCGGCTGAGGCTAGTGCAGCTGCGGAGATAGTGTTAGCGGCTGTGGATAAGGCTATGGAAAAGACTCTAGCTGGTAAGTGGAGATTTATCTTCCTTAATGAGCCAAACCATTGGAGATTTATTTTTTATATAATGAGTTTCATCGATTTTTGTTTATTTTTGTTAGGT